GTGGGCCTGTATCTTCCTGTGGCGGAGGGGGGACAAGGCCTAATAGATATTTTGTCCAGAACAGCAACCTTTAGACTACAGACGGCACAGAGGCTGCTGTATGGCTGTGATCACAGCTGGATGACTTCTGCTCAATTGCTGCTTAGGAGAGCGGGGCAGCTTGGATTGGATAAACACCTCTTTCTTCTGAAGTTGGATCAAGTGGATCTGTCTGGACTTGTGCCATTTTACAGCTCGGTGGTTAATGCCTGGCGGACGCTGAAGGTTGCACGTACTCCTGACCCCAGACCTGGGATGTGGCTTTTCGAGGAGCCGCTGTTTTTTAATGACTTTTTTCCCAGCACTGTATTTTCTTCTGCTACAATAAGGACCAAGTTTGTGGAGGCTGGCGTTGTCAAACTGGGTCATCTTATAAGGATGTCTATGGGTGCACTTGGTGGTGTCACAGGCATTAAGTCCTACAGAGTGCTGGAGAGAATTATGGAGGAAGTTTGGCAATCTCTGTCGCCATCACTGAGATACTTTTCTGGAGATCGTGTCCTAGCTGATCAATGGGCTGATGACAGCGAATATGTTTTCCCTTCATTGATGGTCAGTCCTGCCTTTGAGGAGCAGCCTGAGGGGAGTGGCATGCTTCGCTCCCTGGGGACACCAGTGCTGGATAGTTTCAGCTCTTGTGGGAAGAAGCAGCTTTATTTATGCTGTGTTAAGGTGCTGAATTTCCGCTCTCTGGTTGGAATCAGGGAGTCAAAATGGACTGAGTTTTTTGCTTCGGATTCTACCCCTAAAGGCAGGTGGAGGGTCCTGTATAAGCCTCCTGTTGAAAAACGGATGGTTGACCTCCAGTGGAGGATTGTACATGGAGCAATAGCCACGAACAGACACAGAGCCCACCTGGACCCAAGTACTGGGGAGGGTTGTCCTTTTTGTTCAGAAAGGGAGACACTGGAGCACTTAGTGGTCTGTTGTCCGCGGCTAGTGGGTTTATTTTCTTTGTTGCAGGAGTGGGTGGAATCTTTAGGGGAGACTTTCTCTGTACCTTTGTTTGTTTTTGGCCCTAAGTATTCAGTGCAGAAAAGACGGACCTTGGTTCTGATTAATTTTTTGTTTGGCACAGCTAAGCTGGCAATATGGAAGACTAAGAAGAACCAGATGCTAGGTTAGGGTTGGACTGATGTTGTGCAAAGTCTAAAGGGCCTGTTGGCATCCCGTCTGAGAGTAGAGCATGCTTTTTACTCTCTGACTAGTAGTCTGGACTCCTTTGAAACTATGTGGGGGATTGGAAGGGTTTTGTGTTCAGTAGGAGCAGATGGGACACTTGTTCTTAACTTTTAAGTGTGTGTGCTGGGTAGCTTAGTTAATGGTTAGAGTGCAATGAATGTTGTGATTATGTGGTAGCATTTTTGTGTTCGTTTTTTTGTTTTGTTTAATTTGGTGTAAATAAAGTTGTGTGAAAAGTAAAAGTCCCTCTCTCTTTCTCTCTCTCTCTCTCTCTCTCTCTCTCACACACGCACACACTCGCACACACACAC